AAAGGCCACATCACACTAGATTTAATTAAGCAAGGGATAAAAGAAAAAAAATGTAACAGTGATGGTTTGATAGGAGGATATAGAAATGTGAATAGCCCAGGTCAGAAGGGGAGATATCACAACTGTTTAGCACGCGTTTGGTCAAAGGATAGGCTTATTCGTCTCTTTGACGACTTGTAATATGGTGCTAAGAATGGCGATACACACCGACGATACCGACGAAACGTCTGGGAATGTACCACGTCCACGGTCCTACTCTGGAAATGATCACGCATACAATGGACTCCGGACTAGATGCGTTCCTTTAAGTTTTTCTACCAGTATGACCAAGTTCAGAAAACCAGATCAAACAACTTCGATATCTAGTTTAGTTTCCTACTAAATGAATTTCACACAAAATGAAAATATGCTTGCCCTAGAGGTAGGTATTAAATTTTTTCTCTCATGACCAATTGTCTGCCCTTTTACGAGAATATGCCGAGTCTACGGCCCCACACTTGAGATTCTCACGGATGCTATGGTGGAAGACCCCAGACAAGTCTTGTTCATTTATGTCTCTCTGGCATTACGACTAAGTTACGAAAACGAGTTCACTATTTTATTAATAATACTTACTTCGTTGAACTAATTCCATATAAATTAAATATAGTAAAAAAAAACTTTCTGGAAAAAAATTCTTCTATCTTCTCTTCTTTTTTCCTAAGTCTTGTTTTACCTATGTAGTATTCATTATACTATTAAATGTTATCGGGTGTGCCTTACTAAATCTATGCAACTACATTAAATCATTTGACTATCCATTCTTAATGATTTCCGACATTTGTATTAATTGCACTAAAGGTACCTGCTATTAATTTGTATTTACTTTGCGACAAACATGTCTTACTTGTGTGCGGCTTTCACATTTAAAATGCATTGTAAGGGAATGTTACTCTGTACTTTTTGCTTTTAGTTGATTACATTTTCTTATCTTTTATTACACAGAAAGTTGAGCTTGACAGACCTAGACGTGGTTTTCGTGTCATTTTTCGCCCGATTTGGCTGCTCCCAGGAGAATTACGACCGCTTCACTTGGCTGCTATTCACTTGAATCGTGGGTATTTCCTATCTATCTATTTCTTATATGAGCTGTATTCACCCAATTTCGTTTGAGGTTATGAAGGACTGGCAATTGAATTTCATTACAATGATATGAGTAGAGTTGACGCTTCCGTTGAATTTTAAATAGCCTTGCTTTCCAAAGAAGTGTCCTCGTCCAGGGTGGGTTGCAGTTTCGACCCCAGCAAGACTCGAACCATGACGCTGCAGCGTGTAATATTGAGAAATTAACCACTACGCCACATTAACACAAGTGCGAAGTCCTTCATAACCTTAAATGCAATAGGGTTAACAGATCTTATATAACTGATTTACTGGTAGTCTCGAAACTACTTATTAACCCAAAATAAGTAATGTAGTCGATTGTCATCACAGATATCACTTTGTTCACTCGAAAATCCCACCGAAGAATGGGATATGGAAAAATGCCTGTCTTTACCTGAAATTCACATCTGCTCTGTGACTTAAGGGCACTCGTAGCAATGTAGCGTAGTGGTTAATGTGTTGAAATTTCAGACAACTCTTTCATAGTTAGGGTCCCACTAGGGGTGCTAATAAGATTTAGGTGAAGCCGAAGCTGCATTCCACCCTGAATTAGAATGGCTTTTGGAAAAGTAAGGCAAAGTGAAACTCATTCGAAATGTAAGGTCCACTTATAGCATTGTGGGAAAATTCAACAACCTGTTCCCTTATAACCTTAAACGAAATAGTATGAATACATCTCATATATATCATCTACTGGTAATCTCGAAACCCTACTTATAAATGGAAAATATCTATTTCTTTATTCCATGAATATATTTGAGCTTTGTGCCCATTTCATTTATTTTATAGGCTTGAATGCAACTTGAATAATCGGCTAAAATAATTCTGAAACTTTTTGAATATAAAATTAAAATAGGTGACCTTCGGTCAATATTGTCAATGGAATTTTTTCGCATATTTTTATGATTTTGATTCATTGAATTTGAATTCTAGGTTCCTCATTTAAAAAATTCCACTAAAATTTGATTGGAAATATATTTTATGACAGTTCTATCTTTGTCCACTGCCCTTTAAAACAATGAATTTTTGCCACTTGCTTGACCTGATTTGTCTCCATTTCGCCTTATTCCTACCTTTTTAATATGTTTTGTTCATAAGGTCACCTCCAAAAGGATTAAGTACTTTAGAATGCTGTAGTGTCTATTTAACTATGCCTAATTTTATCAATGAAATTCTTACATTCTCATACATGTGTAATTTCAGCCAAAGATGCTGATCCTGGCTTATCTACAGGCTATATACATGTGCGTAGCGATACCCCTGAGGTATCCTTGATGGTGCCATTTGAAGCTGTTATTTATGCGGGGTGAGTCTGATGTCTCGTTGAGTGGCATATAACTGGTTTTAATATAAATAAATAGCTGACTTAATATTAGTTTTGAGTGTTTACACTAAAAACTTTATTTTATGCATCAATTACTTAGGTTCCTTTAGCGATCCAGCACCTGGCATTTTTTATAATATTGATTCGGCCTTCAGCTACTTTGTTTTATCCATTTGCGTCATAATTAAAACTTATTTTATTTTTGCAGGACTCTTGAGATTGCGGTCAATGACACTTCCATCTTTCTTCCCCGATTTAATTCCTCCCTTCTACGTGAGTTTCCTCTACGCGTAACGAATACGATTCAGAAGGCTTTGGCCGTATTTCACGTAGAACCTTCATCAGATTTGGCCGGCGGCATTGAGGTGAGCCGTAGTAGTACCAATGGCTCGCTTATTATGCTATCTACTTAAGGATTTTGTTTCGTCTTAACAAGCACTATCAATAAATTCTGGTAATCTAGGTTAATTTTGGTATAAAATATTCCTATCATATTTTTCCTGTAGTTTATTTAGCTACATGGGATATTTTGTATTTGGGAAAAAAATAGGTAAACCGGTGGCCTTTTGTGAGTTACGCTATTTTTCATCTGATGTGTCAGGCATTGATTGATAAACTTACCATTTATTTGGCCAGAATAACAATTTACGTCAAGTTGTATTTTTTACCTATATCGAATATTGGCTTTTGCCTTATCTGTTTAACCACTTTTTAGAGCTGTTATGACCTCGTTTTCACATTTTTATTTGAGTAACAAAGATATCTTGTAAAAACCGCAATCTCGTGTCTCATAGTACAGTAGTTGTGCTTATAACCAGGATCGTACCGTTGGCTTGATGCATTTCCAGAAGTTTCGCCGGAACCATCATTCAGCTACAGGTCATCATTACTCAGTCATTGTAGATACGAAGGGTAACTGGGTTTCAATTAATCTCTTGAAATAACGTTGTTGGGGAGACTTTCATTTCGTATGAAAGTGTATGAATAAGGGAATCTTAGTTCTATCTCACTACGAGACGACAGATGATTCCCTTTGTACTGCAGCAGTTTGACTTTAATATGACATTAAGGCTGACGAAGTCCATGATACATTGTCCCTCGCTTCTGGTGAAAAAGAGCTGGGCTTTCATCTATCATATGATGGACATCATTAGAGCTGGAACTTGTTCTTGTAAAAGTTTCACTTCAACACTAGGTTAAGGAGACTATCCGGTTCTACCCTACCTCTTATATATATTCATAACTAGAAACGAAAATGAATAGGCATAGATTGATATAGGATGGTTTAGCTAATTATCTTTCATACTGGTCCTGTTTCTTTTGCTCCAATGTGTGTGTGTGTGCTAACGTCTATAGGCAATACCAGTCCTAAATCAGAGTGTTACTAAGAGGCGAATGTCAGGCTCTGGTTATAAAGGCATAATGACTCAAGAAAAAGCCGTAACCCAGACTGCATAAGTCCGTAAGCAAGTATGGTTGAGATAATGAGATTGGGCCTTTAAGCATGCTAGTCAGGCTACTAAGCAAACTGTCCTAACCTCTCAGTATAGAATAGTTAAAATTTAGCTACCCAATGAAAGGTATAATTAGGGCTGCGTAATCTGGTACGTCTGGTTTAGTTGATGAACTTAATCACATTTTTGACGAATTTTGGTTAAGTTAGAACCATTACTAAGCGGACAAGTTGAGTCGAATTTTTTGGAGGGCGACTTAACACTCCCATTTAATCTGTCAATCAAGCATAAGTGTTTCTTACTCAACTTTCTATCACTGTCCGTCAAATTAAACGTATTCCCTAGTATCGGCCGTAGCTTCCGAGCAAATTTCAAGGAGAGTAGAAATATCCATCGTTTTTTCTCTGTTTCTCTCGCTTTCCTTTCATTATCTCCCTCCTTCCATCTGTTCATTATCATCCATATGTTGCGTTGCATTGCTTCTTCTGGAAATCCGTTTCCAAGACACATCTGAGTTAATTTTCTCTGTTCCTCTTCCAAGAACTCAGAATCAATAATTTG